TGCCGTGACAACGCGAAACGGGTTTCATTTTTATATATATAGATTACCTACGCTACGTTGTGTTCATTCGCATAACTTTAGTTAAAATAACTTCTAGACTTAAGACGGTTTAACTGGTTATTTACACCTACTTACGTATAAGTTATTGGCCGAATCTATATCCAAAAATATACCGGCCCATTTACATATTACAGCATCACTAAACTCTTTTTAGGAGACATGACTAATCGTATTTTTTCTAGAAATAACCTTTGACTTTTATAGCCAGTTGTGGTTATTAACATTAATTAATCTTAAAATAGTGATTTATTTTTAGAAAAAAACTAGCATAAATTGAGAACGGTGGTATTTTGAACAGGCTATTTTGCTTGGTCAAGAAAGCCAAATAACTGCTGTTGTAGTGACATAACCGTTTAAAAATCGGTTTATAGTTTAAAATTTCGAAGTCAGTGTAAGTGATCATTATCAACACAGTATTAGTTGAATACCAAACCGTAAGTGCCTACGTAAATGTATATTTTTAACAGGTAATCTACAAATATTGCGTTTGCAAAGATAATATTGACGACAGCCTGGCCTAGTGACTCTCGTAGGACCTGACTAAGTACAACACGCCAACAGTCACGCATTCGAATCCTGTTGGGGACAAATGTTATAATGATACTAGCTGTGCCCGCGACTTCATACACGTGAAAATAGTTTGAAAAATATTTCCCGTTTTTGAAACATTTTTCTTCACTGCTCTGCCCCTATTGGCTGTAGGGTGATGTTATAGCCTAAAGCTTTGCTCTATAATAAATGGGCTCTCCAACACATTTTTTTTTTCAAATCCGTCCAATAGTTTCTGATGCTAAAATTAGTGAGTTCGAGCAAAAAAATGAACAAACAAACTCTTCAGCTTTGTAATAGGGGAGAGTTCGGTATATTGTACCGCCGGGTAAATTGTACCACCCTCATATTTCGTAAAATATTTATTGAATGTCTATAGTTGCAACACTCAGCGATACACAACTAAATTCAATTAATATCAACCATGAGGTTTTTGCCGTGAAAATGAACACGTGTGTTTTATTTTGAAAAGTATTTTTTCATTGTTTTCAAGTAACTTTTGACAATGCATGTTTAGTTTGTAATTTTGTTAAATTTAATCACAGGGTGTTTCTAATATATTATTTAGAAGCGTAAATTAGTGTGGATTACAATTATTTGAAACATTTTTCGGTATTTATAAGCCATATTTTTTACCGATTTTTTAAAAGCACTATCATCTAGTCGGCTTAATTGTACCACATCAAATTGTATGGAACTTTACCAAAGGATTTTGAATTTTTTTTAATAAATTATATTTTGAAGTTATAATATCGTATTTATGTTTGACTAACAATAAATGAAAGCAAAAGACTGGCAAAGTAAATTAGGTACAAGTGTGCGTTACGATAATTGGAATTACAAAACTTTTACTCAAAATCGTGATAACGTGTAAAACAATATCGATTGTCTATATTATTAACTACTGTTCCTTTTCGTTACCTAATTTGTTAAGAATGTATCGTATAATATTTTGCCATAGTTTTTTTATAGGCTTGAAATTGATTGAAATCCAATTTAGTAACCCGGTGGTACAAATTATCGAACCGGTTGGCTAAATTGGACCGAAGCTCTGAACTCGTATTTTGTTGATTTGTGCTAAATATACAACAATTGTGTTGCTTAATACCTATGAAATAGTAAGTTGAATAATTTATCTTTAATTATATACCATGAACATTAGCAAAAACAAAAGAAAACTATGTGTAAAATGGGATTGAAAAAAACTGGTCCAAATTACCGGACTCTCCCTTATAAACTCGCGGCCACCCGCGACTTCGTACGCGTGAATCCCGTTTTACCCCCTTAGGGGAGGAGTTTCGTAAAATCCTTTCTTAGCGGATGCCTACGTCATAACATCTACCTGTATGCCAAATTTCAGCCCGATCCGTCCAGTGGTTTGGGCTGTGCGTTGATAGATCACTATGTCAGTCAGTCAGTCAGTCACCTTTGAGATATATATGTCAACGTGAAAATGTAAACTCTGTCAGTTTATAATATAACGCGTTAGATTGTAAACTAACAGTGGGTTAGGTTAGGTTAGATTGTAAATTAACTACGTCAGATTATAATCCGACGGAATTCACAATTTTACGGTGACATATATATATATGTAGATAATATAGTCGTACGTTACGTACGTAGGTAATCCGTAACCTAGTCACTATCACCTATCACAAAGTTATGCCTATATTAGTGCTAAGTAAAAGTTGTGTTAGAATTAAACGGAATGTTCCACAAATAACATTTTGCTTAACACTAGAAAGGCCGCCGTCCCATTTTTGTCCCACTCGCGAGTTTGATCGTCTCTAACTTTTTTATTTTTCAACGAAAGTCCATGAAACTTTTTGACTTTTCCTGATTTATTGAATTTTATCAATTTTTAATGTTTTTGATAATATAACATTATTAGAAAAAAAATTAAAATCGGTTTTACCTAGAAGCGCCACTGGGTCATTTTTGTCCCACCTTGGTATTTGCAACAATAATTCGTTGAAGAGTCCTTGTTTCGAGGAAATACGAGAATGGGGAGGTGAGGAACGTTTAGGTGACTCATCACAATGCAGAAATGTAATTAAATTGTACTAGTTTTTGCCTGTGACTTCACCTAGTGAGAAATTAAGTTTATCATAGAAAGACCTAATTTCTTGACACTTATCGTTGTTATTTGACCAAATAACTGAATATTATTGTTATTTATAGACTATATTATGTTATTCTGAAATATTAACAATAAAACTGCAAAGTTTTATTAAGATCGGCTTAGTTTTTTTTGCGTGAAAGAGTGAAAAAACAACAATCGATCTAACCATGAATCCACACTCACTTAGTTCAATTTCAAGGCTTAAATCCACCCATTCATCCTTCCTATTCGTTCATCGGTTCATCCATCCATCAATTCATCAATCTTTATTAACTTTTACATTTATATTATAAGTAGGAAGGTGACTTCAAGACATGGGCCAGTTCATATATTGTATGATTTGATACATTTTTAAAATGTGTGACTTATAATTTTTTTAAAATTATACGTACATACTTTTCATTGTAACTGGTAAAAAACTTCACTGTGTGTGTACGGATAACAGAAAAATAACCATACCTATAGAAGTTCCTAAACACATAGTAGACCAGAGAGACAAAAAAACCATACAAAAAAACTTTGTGCAAAATGTGCACTATTATTTGTAAGATATTTATTATTTATTCAAAAAGAATAATAAATAGTTAAATTAGTAATTTCATAATTTTAATACAGTATAAAACCATGTAATATGTGACTATTTTTATATGAAACCAAAAATATCAGTCTTATAATAATTAAAAATTAAAATTGAATACATTCATATTTTTTAAGAAATAAGTACATATTGATTTAACTATATAGATAAACCATTTTTTAAGGATACTAAAAATAGTTTAAACCATAATGTTCATGCCTGAAACTAAAAAAATGTTACAAAATATATGCTGGGACAAAATTGACCCAGCGGCGCTTTTAGGGGGGTCGTAATCTTCGGCACTTCTAGTGTTAATGGACTTTCCACGGGCCTGCCCAAGAACAGGATTGTACAGTATACAGGCAAACGAAGGTTAACAACCTCGTCAATGTATGGCAAATATCCAACTTAATAAATGTCAAGCTTTGAACAACGTCTACGAAAGTTTCCATAAGTTTTACAGTTACCTACAAAATAATGCCGCAAATCATCAAGTTAATGCACATCATTGTTTTGAAATATGAGTATTCCACACAGACCTAGTTCTAATTACCGTCACATTAAAGTTACAAAAATCCAATTAGTATGAATCACAATTTTATGTTCAATCATAATGACCGTTAATTGTTATAAATAACTTACATTACAAAAGTATTCTATTATTACCTACGCTACGTTGTGTTCATTCGCATAACTTTAGTTAAAATAACTTCTAGACTTAAGACGGTTTAACCGGTTATTTACACCTACTTACGTATAAGTTATTGGCCGAATCTATATCCAAAAATATACCGGCCCATTTACATATTACAGCATCACTAAACTCTTTTTAGGAGACATGACTAATCGTATTTTTTCTAGAAATAACCTTTGACTTTTATAGCCAGTTGTGGTTATTAACATTAATTAATCTTAAAATAGTGATTTATTTTTAGAAACAAACTAGCATAAATTGAGAACGGTGGTATTTTGAACAGGCTATTTTGCTTGGTCAAGAAAGCCAAATAACTGCTGTTGTAGTGACATAACCGTTTAAAAATCGGTTTATAGTTTAAAATTTCGAAGTCAATGTAAGTGACTATTAAGTTGCCTCGCAAATGCCTCGCAACTTCTAGATGTTAGAAACATACCCATTTATTCTATGTAATATTGCATTTTGTTTGCAATGACACATCAACCAAATTATAGGTACTAGTTGGCAAACTGACTTAGCAAACACTTTAAGTAAATTATGATGCTATGGAGAAATGACTGAAATACGAGTACCTATGTATATCATATTGTATTCTAAATTGATCTGATGTAAATTATTATTGTTTCTTGGGATGTCAGCACGGAAAACTTAACAGACACGTAAGAAGGCTTCTGGTAAAAGCCATTTTCCAAAACCTTCTAGTAAATGGGGGAAACGTTCGTAGTCAATCGCCAATTCATAGGCCGTTGCCGTATGTATATTATCTAATCCGTGGCCCAAAATGTTTTTGAGTAAAACTCAGTGATAACCGGCTTTGTTAGCGGACCATATATGGTGGATCATCAAATTCTTGGAACCTCTCAGCATTAGATATAGAAAACATTTATTTGCATCAACATAATTGTAGATAAGGCTTAAAACTAAACAAAACTATCATAGAAACATGTTATAATTATTTTAATTTAACAACTTGCTTACAATATTATTTCCTTTTTCAGTATCCCAGCATATGCTGTCGGACATCGACAAACTCCCAGGAGTGCAGCTCGGAGACTTCCTGCTGCAGTTCGAGCTGGATGAGCCCCGGGAATCCGTCCAGGAGATAGCCAGGAAGGAGCTCAGGGAAACCCCCGAAAACATCAAGCCAGCTGTTGAAGAGTTGAGGAGACTTCTTACAGGTAAATAACCTTCTTTCCTAAACTGCATCCGTTTTCCGTTATTCGTCCTAAATGGCTTGGCTAGTTATGACAAAGATGAACAGCTCTTAGATAGGTACTAATTAGGTACTAAAATAAACATAAACTAGTCGAGTTCAAGTTTCGTCAATTAGCACCGGAATTCTTACATAGTTATTTTTATATTTTTTCCCGCTTTTGTAGTTCGTATGATGAACTAATTATTTTTTCAGAAGCAATTTGGCTTTTTGTTTACGATAATAGTCATTAAAGCATTTTTGAATGACATCCTGTTTTTTACACTCAATATTAGATTACACGTTTTTGTTTTAAAATAGCACCGTATATCAACTAAAATACACTATAGTTGTCCTAAATAGTAATTTTAACACTTTAAAAACAAATATATAAATGTGAACAGTTCTAAAATAATACCAGAACAGATCTATGTAAATCCCCGAAATCGTTAGTCAAATATTGTCGTCTCCGATTGTCCTAGTGACTGGTAATTTTAACATCCTCTAATATAAATAAATATTAATTCTGAACACACACATAAGTACCTACATTTGAAGTCTATTTTGTAAATTATTTACGGCAACAAAAGTCTTCACTTATTTGTGAAACTATTAACAAATAAACATCAAAGAGTCGTTTAATCTTCGTTAATCCGACTAGATTTTTTTATTCATTAGTAAATAATTATCTTATTCGGTTACGTAATTCAATATTGAACAAAAACGATTATAGATTTATTCTGCTTGAAAAAACTAATCTACCTAATACCGTCTCATAATGAGACTCTCAAATGGAACTTACCACTCATCATCACGCTGGTTACGTTGATTCGTTTTAGGATTCCTTCTGAGTTATGAAAAAAAAGAAAACCTTGAACTATCCATGTGTCTATATGCCTGATCTGTGACTGTTTTTGTTAAGACCAGATACATCCCAATAATAAGTTTTTTATCAACAGAAAAATAGTTTGCAATGTACGTAAGTAAGCAAAAAAAGAGTAACAGACAGTTTCGTCTAGCTAGCACTGAACTACCCATACATACAAAAGATGCCACACACTTGATTTGTCACTTGTGTACCTCGAAAAATCATCTTTTGAAGACATTTCAACTTATCATTTCTTTCATCACTTATGATTGGTTACAATAACATACATGACGAGTGTATGACGAATGATGACTTGTGATCTTGGGGCCAAGCAATCAGCTTATTAGCATAATCGCCGGTGCTTACAGTTGGTAAGGATCATTGAGCGCGGTGTCAAGATGGCTCTCAGGCTGTCTGCACCATAAGTGCCTGCAAGAATACCTAAATGTGTACTCAAAATGCTGGAAAGCATGGTTACTGAAAGTTATTTGGATTCTTTACTAGAAAATGTTCAATATTTGGACAAACGGTACATCAAACTTTGTACAGAAAATTAATTAAATCTGCTGAAATTTAATCTATATATCTCTAGCCTTACAAAAATATTCATGTTTTTAAATAGTTCATTTGGGTTTGGATTTATAAAGCCGATAACACTTAAAAGTTGATAACACTTGAACAACTTAGCATAAGTTTGTAAAAAATCACTTTGATTCTGACGTCTGAAATCGGAAATGTTTTTGCAGTATCATTTTTGATTTAATTAGTAATTTTCCTTATTCTGACTCATTGTTGTTGGATAATTCACACAAAAGCTCATGCATAGTGGTGGTAATTGAAAAGAAACACAATACTTAAGTCGGATATTTTTAATTTATACATCTTAAACGCAGAAAATTATATATTTGTATAAACTTAGTCACTATTAACTCTACCATGGCCTTCCTCAACAGATATTGACTTTTACTTAAAAACATTTGAAGAACAACTCATACAATAACTAAATTGCTTTTACCTGACAGAAAAGCATGAAAAATTTATTATATCCTTGAAATGTGCTTGGTACGAGTATATGTATACGATTTTCATTTTATTTAGGTAGGAGATTGTTTCAAGAACAACTTTTTCATTTTGTGGTTTAACCAATCTATCAGCAATTTATATCGTAGGTACATAAAACATTAATATGCGCATTGTGGGTTTTTATTTTTGGCCCACGCTTATAAAAACCAAGGTCAAGATATCGTCAAATATTTTTTGTTCCGGGAAAAGATTTGGCTGTTATGTAAATTGTAATTATCATGGGATATCTAATGTCTTGTTATTGGAAATGTAGGCATTGTTCAATAAATCTAATGGCATTTTTTTCTCTGGATATGGAGAGCCAAAATTTTTCTGGCCTACTATAAGTTCAACACTGCTTATATTGATGTCATAAAAGCATATGGTAAAGATATCATGAACATGTACATTTATGTCCGGAGTCACGGACGTTAATTAAGTACAATTTAAGTAGGTATGTTTTTCCGTTAACTTGTCACCATAGTACAAGCTCTACATTGAAGCGTGATAATCGGTGAGACAGTTATAATAACATACCATGTAATAGCTTATGTATGCTTTTGTTACAGAGGATAAAGATTTGTACGTGCCTTTAGAGAGTGACGCTTGGCTGATCAGATTCCTCAGGCCATGCAAGTTCTATCCAGAGAGTGCCTATGATTTGGTAAGTTAAGCCTTAAAAGTATCTACATCTAAATATACAATAACTCAAAGGTGACTGACTGACTGACTGACTGATATAGTGATCTATCAACGCACAGCCCAAACCACTGGACGGATCGGGCTGAAATTTGGCATCGTAGATGTTATGACGTAGGCATCCGCTAAGAAAGGATTTTACGAAACTCCTCCACCCCTAAGGGGGTAAACGGATCCACGCGTACGAAGTCGCGGACGGCCGCTATTCGTATTGTTACGGAGTGAAGCGACGAGCTCGCTTCAGCATCCTAATGGACTCGCAGCCTCATTCCTTTGTTCGTAAACACAAAATTAAATCAAGTTTAGCTCTTTTCAATATTTACAATAATATTCTGATCATACTATTTGTTCGTTTCACAGATCAAACGCTACTACGCCTTCAAGTTGAAGCACCACAAGCACTACGATGGCCTGATCCCCAGCAAGGAAACCAACATCTTCAACCAGAACATCTTGACAGTGCTCCCGAATAGAGACCACCTCGGTCGCAGAATACTAGTCCTTGAACTAGGCAGTAAGTAGCATTTTGTTTTGCCTGCCCTTCCGCGTTCCACCTGCATTCTAGTTAGTCAAAAGGCGGATGAAACGCTACGAACGAATAAATATTTTATCGTAACTTTTTACCTAATTGGATGGATCATTAATTTCAAACTTTATTTTTCAAATGAATATACCTCACCATGTATGCAAACAAAGTAGGTAAACAAAATCTTTATACTGTAAATCTGTAAGAATTTTCCATATTAATCACGTTTGTTATGATGATGCTTTATAGCGTTTGAAATTAACGCTTCAATTACACGCTACCGCATATAAAGTCTTTGTATAGGTCAATAAAACAACAATAAATAATACTAGGTACGATGCGTCTATAATAACATAGTAGGTAAATTCGTGTATCATAATTTCTTATGTTTGTGTATAAAAATGACCTTTATATCTAACTAATAACATTTTAATTTTTTAACCGCATCATCAGGAAAACCCATTTAGGGGTATAATTACGAGTAAGGCTGTGACTTCTCGATACAGCTCTTACTTTTTTAGACACAAGTTTGACAACGAATAAATTATTTTATGGAAGAAATGATTGGTTCACAACTTTTTTATAACAAATTACATTGGGTTACTACGATGCAGTTTAGTGCTACGGTGCCTCTACTAAATGCTACGGTTTTTTAGACAATTTTTTGGACGCACTACACTGGTTTTATCACTTGTCGTGTACTCACGGCCTTAGATAAAAACAAATCGTATAATATTACACATTATAAACTCAGTCACCGGAAAATTAACCAAATTACAGTTTCATGATAGAAGCAAATACTACCTACGTATTTTCATCGGACGTCATCTAACTTACAACTCGATATCAAAGACATTTACAATGCGATACATTACCTCCACTGTTATTATTATTCCAGACATATCTTCCGGGTCAATATGGCAATAAAAAAGGAATGAAAGATACGTGAAAACTACAAATAAGTACATAATTAAAGGTGTGTTATATACGCATTTAGTGCACTTGTTATTGCATTTGCGTACATTGCATTTGCATGTTATATGTCTCGAGAGACCTTATACTGTATTAGGTGTTCTTATATTGGTATTAGACCAAGTTTAAATGTCAATATATTGCTCACATTGAACTTAAAATGAACCTAAAACTATTCTTGGAGTGAAGGAGAACTGGATTGTAAAAGATTAGCGAGTAATATGATTTTAACGTTCATTATTGTATCTACGTTATTAAAAATAATCAAGTCCCTAAGATTGTAAGAGGATAATCCATAACAAAAACAAACCTTATACTACATAGTTAAAACATTGTAATAAGATTAAAACATAAATACTTAATCTGTATTGATCCAACGAAGAATAATGACTTGACCTGATAATCATCAATCAAAATTAATCACGGCAGATCTGCAATCTTGTATGCAAATGATGTTATCATTACACTGGATAAATTAAAAGGTACCTTACCAACCTCAGTATCAAAAACTCTTTTCTATTTTTTTTTTCAAATAGTAGTGCCTAGTTTTCAAAGAATGTACCTGCAGACGAGAGCAGTGAACACATTGCAACTACATAATCATCATCATGGTCATTTTGGGCTTGCAATGTTTTATGTATGTACATTTAAGATACCTTGATGATTATCTTGAAATGCTCGTTTGTACTTATGAAACTCCACATACCTTTCCAGAACACTGGAACCACAACAAATGCACGCTGGACGAAGTGTTCAAAGGCTGTGTGCTGTTCTTGGAAGCCGCCATGTTGGAGCCAGAGACTCAGATCTGCGGCGCCGTGGTCATCTTTGACATGGAGGGCCTGTCCATGCAGCAGGTCTGGCAGTTCACGCCACCCTTCGCCAAGAGAATCGTCGACTGGCTTCAGGTAATCAACGTTACAAACATTTAATGTAAAATTGTGATTAATTAGATACTTATAATGACGTAATTGGGTTCTGATTCTGTAATTATATCTATCCCACTTTTTGCGGTAACAATTAGGTCAATAAAACTATCCCATTGGACTTAGAAATTAAATAGGATAGAAATAGGATAGGTGTCGTCTTTAACTAGGTAAGTGATATAGGAAGAGCTGAATAAAATATTGCCAGTGAAGTTCTAACAGTGTGCAAGTGAAAAATGTATTTTAAGGGAGATTGGTCGGAAAAAATCACGCGATCTTTCTTCATCCAATGGCATCAAAATGAACTGAAGATTTTGGAGTTTTATGATGATACCGATTCTACTTCTAAGTACAATGCACGAGTCCAACTCATACTTGACTGTTTTTAGAATCATTGATGACGATTTAAACTAAACAAATGATATCTTACCTGATCCTCTCTCTGTAATCAACTATCAATTAATTTCGTAGATCTAATTGTATGAATTTTCAATTTCAGGAAAGCATACCAGTCCGAGTCAAAGGCCTCTACATAATCAACCAGCCGTACGTGTTCAACATGGTGTTCCAACTCTTCAAGCCGTTCCTTAGAGAGAAGCTGCGCTCGCGCATCATCTTCCTCGGCAGCGACCGCGAGGCGCTCCACAAGCATATCAGCCCGAAGTGCTTGCCTGCTTGCTATGGGGGCACTGTAAACATCCCCAGGGTTACTGGACCACAATGGTTGGAACTGCTGCTGATGTGCGACCAAGAATTTTGTGGTGAGTGGGATTTCGATACTTTGAGGCCATCAAGTATAAGTTTGTGGCATTTTAGTTATAGTGGCCTTCATATTAAACAAATTGTCGCTAAGCTGATCTATATTCTGCACTTGTGCCATTCTGAAGTGTAACACCTACTTTTTAACCCCCGATACAAAAAGAGAAGGGTTTTGTAGACTAATGCTGCGGTATTTGTATATCACTATTTCAGCGACGACATCATTTTGTTGTGTGTATAGCCTTAGCAGGACCACCACTACTACGTAGGATTTCATTGCCATGTTTTTAATAAATCAATCGTTTTTCTTCTTTTCAGCCATCAATTCCTACGGGTACAAGAAAAAATGATCATCGTACAACAGAATCTACAATTAATTAAATATTAACATATCTTGTATGTGATTTTAGCAATTTGAGCGCCAATGAACAGCAAGTAACGTATATTTAATTGTCGTGCGTAATAGATTATACCTATTTTAATTTTACTGCCTATGCAAAATGATTTTATTCAATGTAATTTCTTAGCGAATAAAATAGAAATTTAAAAATACTTACTCGTATCATATCATGATCTTATTACTAAGTCGTTCGCGTTTAAGTTCGTTCATTGAAATTGCTTGTAAAACATTCCAAATATCACAAATATGTTATAAATATTTTTATAGTTTTGTCCACGGATAAAATATGTATTTTTATAATGTAACTATTTTTCACTTAGGCATAAATGAAGAAAATATCTTAGAATGATTGCCATTTAGAAATAATACCTCAAGTGATATAAAAGTATATTCATAATGTCATAGACCAAGCATGTTTGTTTATACACATAGAGGAATATAGTTTTATATGTCGATGTTGCTGTTAGGTAGAGTTTCTTTTATATGTGTGCGTATAATTGTGATGTGTTTAATATTCTATGTATATGCTCTAGACGAGTAGTACAGATGTTTATGAAATAGATCCTAAATGTTCAACATGAAGAAATTAGTTATAATATTATGCTATAGGCTGTGATATATTCTTATTTATAAATATTGTATTTGATATATTATTTAAGTTAATTCAAAATCATTGAAACTTTAGTTGCTCCTATATTACATAACTTAGACATATTTTATGAGAATTGGCTATTCAATGAAAGTAGGGTATCTACGTTTTACGTGATATTATTTACCCTATTATTGGTAAGTAGATTTAGGTTGAGCTCAAATAATAAATTAAGTAAAACAAGGAACTGAGACCAACGTTTTATTCATCAAACCTTGTTATCGAATTCATTTACTTGCCTTATTTTTATGAAACCACTGTATTAAAAATATTATAAAAAGAAGAAGTAGAAATATTTAGTGCAATTAAAGTTATTATTGCCCGAGATATGGTGGCAATACTCTTTCATAAAACTGGTAGAAAAAATAAATATTGTGTAAAAGGTATGTTGTCTGTTAAAATTTAGAATAATAAACAAATAATATTTTTAAAACGTAGTTTTATTTTTATTGTATTATTACCGATACAACCAAAACCGCATTTGTACACAATTTAACAATAAGTTATATTTATTAAAACGGTAACTAAAATACATAGTACGTACTTTGATCTTCTTTTTCCATTGTGAGTGTTGTAAATAGGCTGAGGTCACAACCAGTCAGAAATTAACACCCGTATTCACAAACATTACTATGAGGCGCACAGAATTACACACGAACCAATCACAGAACTCTATTCAACGCTGTGAGTTCGATTTACTGATAAGAAAGCATCATTTGTGAATACGGGCGTTAAAAACCCTATGGATTAGACAGGATCAATCGAATTGAATACGTACTTGGCGTAATTTATAAGTTATAATAACTTACTTATACCTAGACGTAACTATGAAAATGTGACCAAGACAGTTTTCCGACATTATAAATACGTACCTATTGGCATTAAAATCCTAATAAAACTAAGTTTGTGAACTCAAAATGTATGAAATGGATATGGTGAATGTTATGTTTATCACAGATGATATTTTGATAGAACTCAATTTCATGGCTCTGAAAATGCTTTCATAATAATTTGGTCTACCATACATACTGGTAACTGGAACAGCCAATCACAGTATTTGACTTACTATGTCATATTATAATAAATAACCTGGTTAGTTCCAGTCACATTATGTTATATCTTATTAAAATAACGATTACAATAGGGATCTATTAACATTGGTTCACTATACTGAGAGTTTGAACTTGGACATTTTATTTAATTTACCTTACACGAGTATAATGACATCCTTTTACCACATTTCATAACTTGAGTATCAAAAATAAATAAATTTATTACTTGTAACGAGTGATAATTTTAAGTTTTTATTCTTAGTTGTTTTTATTATTGCCTGAAGTTTACATTATTATTATTTTACTTACATGACACCAAAATCCATTTGGCTGTTAGAACACTTTTTTCATAGAAAATACTAAGACGTAACCCGCTACCAAATCAACTGCAGTAAAAATTTCTTAAAACGAACATTCAACTAAAAGGTAGGTACAGTTTAACCTTAAATTGTACAAAATGGTCCCGAAATGTAGGTTTATAGTGTACCCTATATCATAATGTATGATAATTGCGGCTTTATACGCTAAGGGCCCGCCCGCTGGAGGTCATGACGCGTGGGCGTCCCGTGACCCGCGACGTGTGCTGCATGCCAGCGCGGTCACTTTGTTTTGTTGTTGTTGCTGACGTAGCCGTAGGAGTTGGCAGCTAGAATGAAAAACGTAACTGTATTTTCGGTATTTTCATTTGGTTTAAACGAGTATTTCTACAGACTTGAATACTTAAACTGTTTGGTTGGACAATATTGGAACCAATTGGAACAATTAAATATATCAACCATTAGTTTCCTTAACCTGACCTTACTTAAATGAAGTCAAATGACATGTCATTGTGTTACAAGTTGGGAATTGACTTGAGTAAGGAACCATGTTCGACTTAACTAAAGTTTTATAGTATCCGAACCCAAAATGTAAAGGGAAAATGTCTCGTAGTTACGTTAGCGCTTTACATTCTAAGCCTGCGGTCGTAGGGCAAATCCCATAAGGGGCATGGTATGATGAGCATACATTATGGGTCTTGCTTGTATATGCAAGTGAAGTATGTTTATTGCCTATCATGCTGTCCTTTCTTTGGGGCCAGGAGGTCAATTCCACCAACAAATAAAAAACTAGGTTGGACTAGAAACGATTTGCCAAGCGATTTCTTATCTGTTTATTCGTAGTATGAGAGTGACATAAATGTTAATAATATTTTTACATATAAATTTGTTTTGCTCCACACATTACCCAGCCAAAAGAATAATTTAATTTAGTAGAGTTTACTAGACCGAATGTGGCAGAAATTTTTGCCCCCACTGGGAATCAAACCTAGGACTAATTTATTTGCAAAATAAGAGGCTTTTAAATACCTTTGAAATCTTCCTCGTAGTGACGGAGCATTTGCCACAAAATCTTCCCGGAGATCTCAGGGTCAGGCAAGGTGCCTCCATGGCGTAACCTCAACGCGCTCGCGTCGACATGCGCCAATAACGATTGTTTATTGCTCCCGTGGAAGTGTATGCGCGAGCGCAGCTTCTCGCGTAAGAAAGGCTTGAAGATCGCGAATAGCATATTGAAGATGTATGGTTGGTTGATGATGTGCACAGCTTTTAGACGGATCGGGACGCAGTCCTGGAAATAGTTTAAACATTAATTAAGGAAAGTAGGACGCAAGTTTGATCATTGTTTGATGTTTCTACGAGAATAGTCATCAGCAGGGCAGAATGAGCACTTAAGTATGTCTCTTTGATTGTTACAGTGAGATTATAAGCTAGGTTCCCAATTTTTACTCTTAATTCGATAGTATAAACCCCAAGGACCATTGCACCTTTTAAAAAGGTATCATTATATTGAATTAAAACTACTGTCCAAACCAAACTAAGAGGTTTCATTTAATGTAGGTAAGAAGTAGGTAGCTACTTCAAGCACATAGGTATTTAAATGTGTCCAGACAAAACAATTTGAAACAAATAATTTTAAAGGCATTCGTTTTGGGCTTCTTACAAGAAACGTTTCTACTGACAGTCGTAACGTGTGGTTTTGTGTCAGTAATTGCACTTAACTATAGTGTACGTCTTAATGACTGCCTGCCTGCGCTTTGTGGAGTCATGAGATCCTATTGCACAAAAATTTAAGAAATGAACAAGACGTGTTTACAAAAATGGAGGTTTATACTGTAGCAAAATCTTAACATACTTAAATTTCCTTACGTTCAATGCTCGTTTTCACCATCAATCTCTAATTTTTAAGTGACCCCTGTCGTAACACATAACAGGAATTTTGTTTTTATAGGGGTCACTTAAAAAGGATTGATGCATTGATGGTGAAAACGGCTTATCTCATCAAGAATGATTACATTTCTTTTAATCATCATCATTTTAGTCATAGGACTTCCACTGCTGAACATAGCCCTCCCGGGCCTCCCCCAATGATTTCCATATCGCCCGGTTGGATGCAGACCGTTTAGCGGCCAGCACATTGCATTACATTTCACTAAGAAAATATTATACAATGTACGTAAGGAGATCACGTAAATGTTCTTGTTAACTCTTATTTGAGGTAAAAAGCAAAATTTTTTCAAAACATCAAACAACAGCACTTCAAAAACATGAAACTTAAAAATCTATATTACATCAAATGCTTGGTATGTAGACCTATATTATGTGACACCATTTGTAGGTAGGTACTACGTAGGTACTTAACAAGTGCGGTTCATTGGTAATCTTGGCACAATTTCATATGGATGACGCATGTGGATGCGTCCATTGAATAGCCGATAACCAATTATCGCCAATTTACATGGCCACTGGCCATTGATCTTAGGATTTGCAATATGGCGGGGTCATAAACTTTATGGTATAAAAAAACAGATTTTTGCATTGAAAACACTAACATGTTATGTAAACTATAAGATCATTTTTAACTTGCACTAAACTTTTTCCTCATCTTTGATCTTTCCTAATAAACACCATTAGCATTTTGGTAACGAATAAAGTAAATATTGGTCTAAATGTTGTTTTATGTATGACTTATGCCAGTTTTCATCATCAATCTATAATTTTTAAATGACCCCTATGAAACCAAAATTCCTGTTATAAATGTTACCGTAGAGGTCACATAAAAATTAGGGATTGATGGTGAAAACGGGCATTAGTCCCCGTGCAAAAATCCACATCGTATACCCATCAATCTGCTGTTTTAAGAAACAGATATTTTTAAAGAAACGACCTGACGTTTTAACACATTAGAACTACTTAAATTGCAGACCTAGACATGTAATGTAATATTACCTGTATCCAGTCCACGATCATCTTGGCAAAGGAAGGCGTGAACTGCATGACTTGCGAGAACGACAGCCCCTTCATATCCAGTATGGAGACGACCCCGTTGATCTGCGTGAGTGGTTCCACCATAGCCGCCTCCAAGCCTAGCTGGATCCCTCGGAACACCTCCGTCAGGGATACGTCCCGCGGGTTCCAGTTAGCTGTAGAAAGACACTGTTATTTACAACTGGTGTAATTTTAGATAAGAGAACATTAAAAGCTAAAACAAGCATTTTATTTACAGTCTGATGTTCATTTGACTGTACCTACTGTTGTGAAGTTGAATAAACTTTTATTTATTATTCTATGTAATATGATAGTCACTTCAGTTTTTATTGGATCAAAAACGAGCTCGTGTTTGCGAGAAGCTTGTTTTGACGCACATATTTTAAGCTCAGTTACCTACTAACAATTAACGCATACAACTACAATAAAAAGTCACTATAAAAATGAATAAATTAGCTATAAAAATATTAATTACTACCTGCTGCCTTAAATTTTTAACCCAGTACAGAGGCCCAAAATTGCCACTTTGTTCAAATTTTATGCCATTAATTCAAACTCTAATGGCAAGTTTTGTGCTTTTATTATTTAATCTCAACATGTTATTTTGAATATAATTACTTACCCGATAATTATTATCAGTATAATTTCAGTAAGCAGATGAGGCGAGATAAATGCGAAACATGACATGATAAAATTGTAAAATGACAAATGATTTCATGATTAAAATTAATGAGTACTTTCATTACGATCAATATTAAGTTCCTAACAACATAGGCTTCTGAATTCAGATATGATATGTGGCAAATGAGAAATGACTTCTGTGATAATAGCAGCCTTTCTTTACAAGAGTTTTCTTAAGCTAGAAGACTCATGACTCTTCTGAAGATGAAGTTGATTTATTTAGAATATGATAATGTTATGTTAGTAAACCAATGGCCCATGAATGATCAAAAGACAAATAGTACCACCCGACTCAACGAGCATTAGCCTGCGGCCGTGCTGGTCCCTTGGCGATAGAATTGACACGATGGAGTGGTCGAACGCAGCTCGGACTGAAGTTGGTGTCAGGTCATAGCACTGGTCGGAGTGCGCGGTCCGGAATTTGTAGTATGCTTGTATCTGAAATTATAAAAAGATTATTTTAAAAATATACAGTGTGTTACTGCGGCTTTTTGCAACAATACAACGTAAGTAAGTCAGTCTTTTAGATGCAAGGTTGATAGAGTTGCAAGAGCGATATAATTGCAACGTAGATGCGCCTACCTAAAACTCCATTTCACCAAACATGTAGATTACATAATAAATAAAGTAAAGACGCTATATAATAAACTCACACTGTTTGTTAGGCCTACCTGGGGTGTTCACCCCGACAATGTTAAAATTATCTATGAGCACGTCGTGGAACCGATAATTTGTTACGGTGCTGCGATATGGTCCTCTGCACTCCGATACAAGTACATTGTACAACGTCTTCTATCAACGCAGAGGCTTTTCGCCATTAAAATAACACAAGGCTTCCGCACAATCAGCACTGCCGCATCCATATCACTGGCGCAGTTAACACCTCTCCCTGCCAAAGTCTCAATGGTTGCGGACATAGAAACCACTAAACTTACCGGATTTACACCATTTCTGCCGTGCGACGTTGTGATTGAAACCCCTTGCCCACCAGCCGAACTCCTTCATCCCTCTGAAAGGGTAGGTATAGAGTTCACGGAAATTACTTCCACCAGTGATCTTATTCAGATAGAAGCCAACTACACCCGGCTTATCTTCACCGACGGGAGCAAACANTACGAGTCACATAGGCTAAATCTCTATAAAATGTAGGTATGAAATGAAACGCCTCCATCCTCTGCTGGCGCGCCAGCAGAGGATGGAGGCCCCTGGAGAACAGGGGCCCCAAGCACGTGCTTGTAGTGCTTATACGTTAATCCGCCACTGATTACGATCAATATTAAGTTCCTAACTACATAGGCTTCTGAGTTCAGATATTATATGTGGCAAATGAGAAATGACTTCTGTGATAATAGCAGCCTTTCTTTACAAGAGTTTTCTTAAGCTAGAAGACTCATGACTCTTCTGAAGATGAAGTTGATTTATTTAGAATATGATAATGTTATGTTAGTAAACCAATGGCCCATGAATGATCAAAAGACAAATAGTACCACCCGACTCAACGAGCATTAGCCTGCGGCCGTGCTGGTCCCTTGGCGAGAGAATTGACACGATGGAGTGGTCGAACGCAGCTCGGACTGACGTTGGTGTCAGGTCATAGCACTGGTCGGAGTGCGCGGTCCGGAATTTGTAGTATGCTTGAATCTGAAATTATAAAAATATTATTTTTCAAATATACAGTGTATTACTGTGACTTTTTGCGATACAAATGCGTGTTAGCCTTTGATGAAGTGTTGATAGAGTTGCATAGAGCAATACAATCGCAACGCAGATGTGCGGGTGTTAACGCTGCAAAATTTGCAGTGAAATATGCAGATATGCGCAAGCATATTATCTAATATTAGAAATTTTATCTAAGTTAACAGCTTTATTTGTAATTTATAACATGATCGATCATTCATCTCCTTTTCTTCTGGAAGACGTTCATAGCTGGACAAAGCCCTTCCCAAAGGATTTTCACAAGAACCGGTAAGTGCTTCATGCAACCTTCACCGCATAAAGCCGCTTAAATTGAAATAAGTTTTTGTTGGAATAAAAACGTCGTGATTTCTTATTTCCTGGCTTATTTTTTCCGTAGCAATTTTATATACCTAGGCATCTACTCATTTAATGGGCAAAAAGTTGCCGCATAATTTACTAAGTGTTGACGCCAATGAGAATTTTCTTTAGAATTAAACGTCTAAAGGTCTTATAATGGCTTAGTTAGATGTAAACTGTTTATCATGCAAATGATACCTTCACTCGGATAAGTATACGGTTAGTTACAAGCCAATTTATTTGAGCCTTGACCGGTCGACCACCTGAGGATCAAGGCATAGAAAGAACAAAAGCGTAATAACACCTATTTGTGAACAGGATGTCAACTTTATGCAGTTTATTTACCAACCCACCGACATAACTCTTTATTGTTAAAAATCATAGAAATTACAATTCCTTAAGTTGATTCTTTTGAAATAAAGCCGCTACACCATGCTGCCGGGCTTGGTGTGTAGAGTCCTTAAATCTACTTAATATCACCCAAAATCAATAAATAAAATATTCTTGGACATTTTACACTGCGTCTCTAGTCCCAAACTAAGCAAAGCTTGTACTATGGGCACTAGATAACAACAACCTATAACCCTGATATCTGTAACGTACCCTCAACTGGTATATTCATGAGAATTTATGCTTAGTAATAAATGTGCAAAATACGCTTGTAATCTTCCTGCTTCAAAAATCGTTCAAGGTTTAACCTTAATCTGTCTTAGCCATGACCATGTTTATAAGGTCTTATGGTCGATATTTAATAAAAACCAAATATGTATTTATTATAATTTTACTAACATTATATTAGGAATATTGTTAATAGCTTTTATTTGGTCTTATTCTAAAGCTCAATAGTTACAAAAACAAAACAAGAACATGTAACTTATTCAAGTCTTACAAGTTTTGTAACCATCATCATCATCAAGGTAATAAATAAAAAATACATACGTCAGCACTTATGTAATTTTTCATGCGTACATCATTAACCGGCTTTATTGATGTCGGTTAAGAGCAGTTTTCGCGTGCTTGTTAATTTCATTCGTGATTTTATCGCGGGTACTTAGTAAAAAATACAAGGTTAAGACCTTGAGTTTCAAATTAAGTTCCAGGTTCAATATACTCACTCGTAACCCACTTTGCTTTGTAATAAATTCATAGATTTTTACAAAAATAACTTCTGGTTATTTTTCTTTGTAATTAAAACAATGTAACAGAAAGGACTTATGGTACAAATTTGATTTAAGATTAGTTGACTCAAAATACAACCTGTAAACTGTACGTTAACCTCAGTTAAGCTAGAAAGCGTGTGAAGAGTCGTTTTATTGTCATCCAAATGTTAAAGTACTTGGAAAAACTGTGCATTTCACGACTTAATTGGAAATAAGTAAACTCTTTGTATTTATAACTTACCCTTTTGTAAGCACTTTCTGCATAAAACTTGCATGGCCGCAGGAATTTCATTAGGAACTCATTGTTGTCTATCGGTATTACTAGTCCGGTCTCTCCTGGAAAAGAAAAAAAACAATAAGAATGATTAAATAAATTGAATTTGGATTTCATGTATTTTTTTTATAATCCAGCATTTTTACAGGGTAAAAAAAAGTTTTGTAACTATATGTATGGTAAGTCAGCCTTTAGGTTAGGTAAGTAATTAAGTAAGGTAACTAACTAAAGAGTTTGTGCAGGATATTTTGTGGTACAGGTAGAGTCAGAAAGGATATAACAGGAAAAAAGTGGCTTAGTAGGATATTGATATTTGTATCAAATAGTTAATAGAAGGTGGCATCTAAATGCCACCTAGACGCTAACGTCTAGACACCAATGTCACATTATTAATACGCACAAGGTTTTCAAGTTGTATTTAACGAATGCACACACATAGAGTGTATCAAAATGATTAAATCAACTCAGTAAAAAACTCTCTGTAAAAACTAAGTAAAACTCATTTATTTCTGTAAGTAGGCTTTAAAAAAGCGCTTTTACACGTTCCAGTGTTAACCCTACCACTGCTTCAGGACAATAAATGGGCCAGTGCTGAGAAGAAGCAGCGCAAGAAACTCAGACATTATTGTCAGCCTCTTTTTCAAAGGTTTACAGGTTTTCAAAATACATAGTTATAAATATTTATGCGAGCTAGGCAGTTACGCATCCCAAACATTTTTATCTTTTAAATAATCATCGACTTTATAGTAGCCCTTTTTCATTAAGATACTTTAAATATGTGATTTGAATTTATGAATGGGTAGTTCTACAACAGTTTGTGGTAATTTATTAAATAATTTAATACATTTCCCCATAAATGAATTCCCAATCTTATGCATTCTGAAATTTGGAACGGCAAGTTTATTTTTGTTTCTTGTATTAAAGTTATGCAAATCGCTCTTTTTCGTGAATTGCTCTATATTTTTGCGAACATATAAAAGAAGAAGAAGAGTAACTTAAATAAACAAGCAACAGCAACCTTTCTACTCGCAGGCTTCATCATGTGGAGGATGAATTCTTCGAGGGAAATGTATGATTCTTATATGTTTCTTCATAGAGCATGATATGACGCAAGCATCGGCTGCGCAAGATCTGCATTAAAGTTTGCATCATTTCATTCAATATGCAAAGGTTCAAAGACATCTTATGATCACAAACATTCCTATAGCATTCAGTCGTTTAGAGTCTAGTTATCTACACAATCATACTTATTATTGTTTTTGAATAGTCATACGTGTTAATTTTCATAGCTATTTTGATATTCAAGTGTAATTTTTCCTTAATTTAAAATCATTGTAGGTTTGTCCCCACCTAAGTATTTAGCAAGTGCTAATTACTTTACCTTGGGATTTGTCAACATCATTTATTTAATCTTTTGTTAACGTAAAAAATTTTGTGTTTTCCATAGCACGCAAAACTATGGTGGACTTGCTGGATATATCCCAACTAATAATTATAAATGCGAAAGTAACTCTGTCTGTCTGTCTGTCTGTCTGTTACGCTTTCCCGCTTAAACCTCGCAACCGATTTTGATGAAATTTGGCATATAGTTTGAGTCCCGGGAAAGAACATAGGATAGTTTTTATCCCGGTTTTTGAAACAGGGACGCGCGCGATAAAGTTTTTCTGTGACAGACAAAATTCCACGCGGGCGAAGCCGCGGGCGGAAAGCTAGCTTTATAAATAGAACGGTAGTACCAATTACCTACACTATTCAAACAAGACGTAACAAAGTTTTAGAATAACATTTAAGTAGGTACTTATAAACAATTTAACTTAGGAAAACTACATAAATCAGATGCGATTATTTTCACAGTAACCCAGACATTCTGCTAGTATAGTAGGGNAAACTTAACCATTGTAGGTTTGTCCCCAACTAAGTATTTAGCAAGTGCTAATTACTTTACCTTGGGATTTGTCAACATCATTTATTTAATCTTTTGTCAACGTAAAAATATTTGTGTTTTCCATAGCACGCAAAACTATGGTAGCTTGGCTGGATATACGCAAGGCTTATACCGTAACTTAAAACCTGCTGACAAATGTTCCAGGTAACGCGCAACAGCTAGCGACGCATGGGATGCGGAATAAATTGCTCTACCGCTCGAGGGCGAACGTATATTTACGGCATTGTATCCTAGATAACCAAGTACCTAGTTGTTAAGTGACATTACGCTCCATTTCTCCCCTCTTAGAGTAGAGGCTACTCAAATGCCTGATGTCTGTAATATTTTTTCAATGATGCAACTTTATAGTACATATAGGTTCCTCCCCTTACATCTTTCCTAGCCAATTGCACGTGCTTACAAATCTATTTATACAATGCAAAAACTTGTTTCTCTTCAATTATAAAGACTTGACAATCCTACATATAGGCTGNAATTATAGTTCTTTATTTAACTTTAATTTGTGAGTATTATAATTTTAATTAACACTTATTTCTACACACTATTGTACCAGGATTTAACGGAAAGGTAAGTGTGAGGAAAATGAGGATTCACAATCATAGTACGGGAAATATTTTTAGAACAAAGGTTACGGCTGTGACCGTTTTAGTTGTTTTTTTTTAGACAGCACCAGCTTCTGCACTACTTCTTGCACTTACATCTCTATCATTGCATCTCACCATTTCCAGGCAAGCCTCGGCAGCTACGGGCAAACCGGTCCATGTAGGCTCCATTTTGCTATCGACTCTGGTCCACCCCCAACCAGTCGGGTAAAGGGAAGACTGAGTCGGTTGCTTTCACCTGATCCTATACGCGAATCCCTTGATATACTGCCAGTCACTAATGCTGATACAAAGCTGCTGCTGCTGTCTGGGTTATCTTATGTAGGGCCTAAGCTAAGCTAAGCTAGGTCTAAGCGTAGTCCACGGCGACCCATTAGGATCTTTATGCTCCCATTTTTTATTCCCTATCATCCAAAAAATCCTATCCATTAGGTGAATTAAGCGTCTATGTGAAAGCCAACTAAGTCTTCTGATGCCGGATATGCTGATCCAAGCAGACCCATCCTTACAGTATTGATTCATAGACCCCACATGTATTCCACATACTCGAGAGCTGTCTTCTGTTGTTAGGCCCATTTTGTGGGACATGTGGTTCGTTCCATAATGCCCAGTTTGCGTCCAGTTTACGTAACAGTAATTGCTTGGGCTTACCTTTTATTTCCGCTTAATGAGTTTTCCATGACCCTGTGTTTCCCTTTAGGGATGATTTGGAGAGGCTTATCTTTTATCGTTGGATCTTTCCCATTCAGCACTGTGCTTCTTGGATATGGCCATATTATGGCCATGAGGTATGCTGTTAGATAAAGGTAAGTATCAGTTCTGACCCAATAGGTATCGCCTCTGACCCTAGTTTCGCTAGACTGTATGACTGCATTTGATCCGTGTATGTCCAGGTATCCCACACTTTTTCGCTTTCGTTCGTTTGTTCATCTTTAAGATTGCATCTAGAATAATTCTAGACTCAACCTCCACTGAGGCGATGGCTTTTTGTTTAAGTGCTGCCTGGCTATGGATCAGGATGTAAATATTGCGTTTTTTACACCCCTGTTCTTTAGTGCACACATAATTATAGCGTAGAATTAAGCTTGAAACACTGTAGCAAACCTCCTTAAGCGTTCACTATGTTCGAAGTGTTTACAGTAGACGCCCGTTCCCGTTCCCAAGGCCATCTTGGCAGTGGCGGCGTAAGTCCTAAGGCACCCCCCTGGTAACCCCCATGATTTTGGGGCTACCTACCGATTCCAAGATTGAAAGACAATGACATAGACCGCAGACTTGCTATGCAGATGCGCCAGTGAGTACTAATCTGTGCGACATGTGTCACCCCCTGATGCTTGGCATCCGGGGCGGACCGCCAACACCGCCCCCCTCCTCTTTTCTAGTCGTTGCCTTGTTCAAGATCTATCCACTTATTAGATCAATCCAAGGGGTTTGCGTATAGGATTAGTTGCAAGCAACCGACTCAGTCTTCCCTTTGCCCGACTGGTTGGGGGTGGACCAGAGTCGATAGCAACATGGAGCCTACATGGACCGGTTTGCCCGTAGCTGCCGAGGCTTGCCTGGAAATGGTGAGATGTAAGTGCAAGAAGTAGTGCAGAAGCTGGTGCTGTCTGAAAAAAACAACTAAAACAAAAAATATCTCCCCGTACTATGATTGTGAATCCTCATTTTCCTCACACTTACCTTTCCGTTAAATCCTGGTACAATAGTATGTAGAAATAAGTGTAAATTAAAATTATAATACTCACAAATTAAAGTTAAATAAAGAACTATAATTATTTATGTGCTTTCTTCTTATGATATTTTCAATATTAAAATGTATTTAAGCTATTTTCAACCTTATGTCTCACACATAGAGTTCAAAATCAATTGACAAAAAAATACAAATCATGGTAGATTGATCTGCCAGCAACTCTAAATAAATTCTAAAATAATAAATCCTTGCTTGCTTATGAACCAAATAGTATGAATTCATGGATAAAATAAAAAAAAAATTCCGATGCGCAATAAAATTCGCCCGCTGTGTCCTGAAGAAAAAATTTTTTTCACCTAGTTTTTGCGAAAAAAGTGCCATACAATGGTATATTTTTATAATCCTGATAAATGTAGCTTTCAGGTCATATTTTTTTATTACATTATCTCCAGTGGTTTAAAAGTAAACGACGTTAATTTAAAAAAGTACTTTTTGGTTTTTGTGAATTTTGTTCAATATTTCTATTTTTTTGTATGAAAAGGCAAAAAGTTTGTTCTAGAAATGAATTCGCCATCCTTTAATTATCTGAAAATGACACCACGCTTGCCCTAATACCCATAGTTTTGAAGATATGGGCCTTAAAGTGAAGCGCGGCGGAAGGAAACTTGCCCCCCCTCCCCCTGCTACCACAGGGGGGGCTCCCGATGTCTACCGACGGAAATCCACTCAGGAGCACCCAAAGAACCACTGTTGCAAAAATGAGCCTTCTATACCAAAGTGGAGGGGTTCTTGCACTAAATTCCCTACTACGTCATGTA